GATTTTCAAAGAGGCCCCATTATACTTAGGTATATAGGTTTTTGTGCATGTAAATGGTCTGCAAAGGCTAAAATCCCAGAGGGAGTTTCTCTCCCACACACTCCCCCCCTGCCTGAAGGCCTCCATTGGACTTCTTTGTTTACTACTGTAGCATAGTGACATCACTATTTAACACTTGTAATACTATTTGGTAGCGATCCAACACATTGTATGTGTAGGCAAGACGTACAAGCATTGTAGTACCAATGTAGAAGAGGGTATAGTGATATTTTGTGAATCTACTCAAGTTAAAAAACTAAGAGAAAGAGAGACTGCCAAAATATATTTAGTGAGAACGGTAAGGACATTTTCCACATTTCCATATCATCTGGTAGATTAACATTTCTGGAAATGTAAGACTATTTCATTAAGGCTAAAGTTATTTTACATCTGCCTTTTTCCCTAATTAATTAGCTGAAAACATTTTGTTATGGTATTGCAGTAGACTAGAGCTAAAGTTTAGTAATTTAAAGTATTGTTTTTATCAAGTAAAAATACCAAGTATTTCATGGTTCCAACATCTAAATGGGCAGCGTTTCTCTCTCTTATGTGACAACTTGATAAAGAAATGAATTAGCAGTAGGAGTTAGGAATTAAACATGAGCAGCAACCCATACACTTTGCTTTAACTATAGCAATCTGACACAGCTGTACTTTGAACTGTAAGCAAACCACCATTTCATGGTAATTTGAACCTCAGCTATATGATAGAGTTTTTTCAGACTGTGATGCTGGTTAAGTGGAGCCAGAGGGATCAACACATGACTGAATCCAGTGAACCTAAATACTGTAGAGGAACCTAGGCGCTTTCACACCGGAGTACTTTTCCCAGTATAGTTCCGAAAATGTGCGTTCACACCAAAAAAATCCGGAACTAGAACTTAGTCCATGAGAACCTTTCCACCCCCTTTTCCGTCCCTGCTAGAGAGCAGGTACTTTCATTTCCCATTTCTGATTGGCTGGGCGGATTGCAAACCAGCCCCGTAAAACTCCAAAAAAGTTTTGTGAAGCCGCCATTTTATTTGCTGGCATTAGCATTATTAGCATTAGCATTAGCCCAGCGCACCAACGGAGAGTGACTAACTTATGGCAACACAAAATAAAACGTGGCAGCGGTGGAGTGATGAGGAGATGTCGGCGTTCTGGCAATTTACTCTGAAGGCTTCAGTAGAAGCTGCTGGGAGTCCCAGCAGCTTCTACTGAATAGTGATGTGTCGGTCGCGAACGAGCCGGCTCAAAGAGCCGGCTCTTTTAAGTGAACGACGGGAGCCGGCTCGCGCCCGCGAACGAGCCGTTTTCTTTTGTTATTTTGTTGTTGTTAAGTAATACAAGACAGAATGATATGATGATCTCCGCGCTACAGCTGCTCCATGCATGCATGCAGTGACATGTAATATCCAAGGATTAGAGACTGTTGGATGCTGCTGTTTTGAGCATTGCAATACATTTATTTTTATTATGTTTTTTTATGATTAGAGACGGTTGGATGCTGCTGTACTGAGCATTGCAATATATTTATTTTCACTATGTTATTTATTTATGATTATCCTTGGGCTCAGCAAAGATTTGATGTCAGCTGTTGCTGTCTTTTTTTCTATAGTTAATACTGAAATAGAGCCCTGCTGTTTAGTCAGGGCCTTTTCTTTAAATATAATTTTAAAATGTCGATAGAGTAGCCCCTTTTTTAAAATGTCTATGCTTAAGTTTTTATCTCAATCTCAATCTTTATTTATTTATATAGCACATTTAAAACAACCTTCAGTTGACCAAAGTGCTGTACAGGCAATACATATTAAATAACACAATGGGAGTACAATAATAAAACAATAATTAAAAACATGATAAAAAGCACAATAACTAGAAAAATATTTAAAAAAAAACACATACAAATGTAATGTTCAACTAGTATTAAAAGCCAGTGCAAAGAGGTGAGTTTTTAGCTGAGATTTAAAAAGTTCAATAGACTCAGCAGTCCGGATATGTACTGGGAGGCTGTTCCACAGTCTAGGAGCTGCAACACTGAAAGCCCTGTCACCTCGGGTTTTGTTATAGGTGTTGCTATCTGCTTTGTGTAGCGTGGTTCGACAAGCAAGTCTGTGCATTCATTGGGTGGTATCGGAGAGATACAAGGGTCTGTAAATGCAATGAAAACAATTGGCCACAGCAAATAATTGATATTAAACATGTCATTTTTACTTTTGAATACTTCAGTACAAAGGATGTATTGAATAATTTAAGTGATATGTGTACACATATAAATCATTAGTCAAAACAAGGCTACATTTGATTGAATTATAAAAGGTATAATATGTGGTAAACTGAAGAGCCGTTTGGGAGCCGAAAGAGCCGGCTCTTCTTGGTGAGCCGAGCCAAATGATCCGGCTCACCAAGAAGAGCCGGAATTCCCATCACTACTACTGAAGCCAGTCCCCAACTCCGGGGACTTCCGGCCGGGGACTTCGGGTGGCAGTATACGCCGTGAAGTTGTTTGCAGCCTGCCAGTAAACCCAAAGCAGAAGAAGAAGAAGTGACGTCAGCAGCTTCATTTGCCTAATCCTCCCTCAGGGACTTATTCCCCTTATTCCGGTGTGAACGCGATCTGCTCTTTAGTTCATCAGAACTAAATAAAAAAGAGTTCTGATGAACTAAGTACGGCAAAGTACTTGGTGTGAAAGCGCCTCATGACATTGAATAACATCCACCTAAGCCTCTGGACTGACGGGAAGAATGGCGGCGATTGTGGAAGAAACCCCATCGGCCCCTACAGGCGGGGGATTAAGCATTAGGTAATTGTGTTAAAGGAGAGGATTAGATTAGAGCGCAGGGACGAGGCAGAGCAGGTTAGCTGAAACTACCTCTGAGCTCAGGACATGCAAAAAGAGAAACATAGCACGGCTTGTGATATCAGTCCAGATCTGAATGATGACCAACAGAGAGGATATAAATCTAAAAGATGGTACTTAAGTGTACAGACAGTGGAGGGCACATCGTCTGCGTGTGCTATCAGTTGTGAGGTTGTCCTTGTTCCATCACAGACTTTACATAATCACCGATAAATATGATTACTCATCCTCCCCTCCTGAACAGATCGAATGTACGGGATGTAAGGAACAAAGTGCTAGAGAATGTTCCACTTAATCCATTTTTTTTAAAAAGAACATTCACATAGATAAAAGAGTAACTGTATCTTTGGGTCATGGGTTGAAGGGGAAAGTGATAGAGACGTGGGGTTATGGATATGAAATAACCTCAGAGCCAAAAATATACTGCCGGAAGAGCATAAGGGTAAAATGTTCTTCTTTAGGAAAGGAAAAGACGATTGGTTGGTCGACATTAAAATATCTCAAGAAATATTGGAAAGGTTGCCATGAAATTTGTTTCAGACATTCGTGTTCCCCATAAGATGAACCCTAATGACTTTTCCTCAAGTGCCACCATGAGGTTTGGTATTTCATACTTGGGTTATAGCCAAATAAGTGCAAAACAAATGACATTTCTTTGTGTTAAGTTGTCGATTAGGTGACTAACCGTTTGTTTTGGTCTTGGACGACTACTAAGGATTAACTAGTCTTTTTTATGCTTACACTCTGAATGATTAATTCGTAAGAATCATATCAGCAAATCTTTGCTAAACACAAGATTAACAAGGTGATTTTTTAGTGATTCTTTCTGGGGAAAGATCTAACCATCTGTCAAATACATCAACTAGTCAATTAGTCATCAAAACAGGCTAAACTAAAGGCGAGCACGGTAAACAAATTCCCGGATAACACGACATCTTCAATAATAAATCAGTGAATAAACAAGTGACCCAGCACTTATTTTAATTATCAATTGATCATTCAAGTAAATGTGTTACGCAAAATCACTAAACATTCTCCAATTTGAGTTTTTGCCAATTTCTTTTATATATTTGGAACGTCAATTTACCATGCAGACACCCAAGCAGTTTTCTGCATGGTAAACATCTTGGATCGTCTTTCTTTCTTTACGTTTTGTAGGATTAATATAACTTAACGGTTAAAATTCTGTCTAGACGGCGTCTTTCACACAGGTTGGCCATCACTGTGTCTCTTAAAGGCTGGTCTGTAGGAAATCTTTTATAGTCTATTGACTACATAGGTTACAATTAGGTGACAATATTTGGCTATTTTTACAAAAACAACAGACAAGCTTTAACACAATAAAAACATATTAAGCGTTTGGACCTTACTCATAGTAACTCTGGATCCTGCAGGAAATACTTGTTGTGTGAAAACTATTCTCAATGTCAGTATTATTAGTATAATCTCCATTACTTTTTGAAAGGCGTGACTCATTGACAGTTGGTGTATCTCAGTACTGAATTAAATGCAGGATGACTGATAACCACAGGAAAAAGCAAGTCATCCTGGTACAGTACTCGTGTCGCGTGTGTCTCAACAGTAACGGTATGTTTCACTCTCAAGTTTCTAGTACTATTGTGTATTTTGTTTTTAAAGTGTATTATATTACATCATACAGTCCTATCTCTTTATTCAAAGCAACACGGTTTAAAATGAAGGATTGGTGGATGTCATCATGTTAGATTATATGATTTGGGGTAAAACACAATCAAAATTATCCTCTTGCACTTATATACACATGAATCTGTATTCTACATACCTTTAGCTGATTTTAAGTGTTATAAGCATATATTTATCTTGTTTAAAAGTGTGGCAAACATTTCCAGAGATAAGCAGAAAAAACACATCTGTCCTGATATATTACTTGCTTTTAACTTATCTTAATTAAGACTAATTTTATTCAAAACTTATTTTATTTATACTTTTTAATTTGTTTCATATCAACCCAGCATCCCAACTATGGACCGGTCCGCCTGAACAGCATCAGCTACCGGACCTCCAACGCCTCTCATCCCCGCATCTCCTTCACCCTCCTCCCGCCCCTGAGCCCTTCCCCCCCGGCCTCCGCCAGCTCACCTCCAGCAGCGGCAGGTCCGGGTCCAGGTGTGTGAGGCTGTGCAGGACCACCGGGCTGGGGTCTTCCACCACCTCCAGCCTCACCCCGTCCCAAATGTTCCGCACTCTCCACGACGAGTCAAACATCTCAACCAGCTGTCCCGGCTTGACGCTGTGCGCCTCGGTTTGCATGCCCGGGAAATAGACCATGGATGCACGCGAAGCCGACTGTTCATTCACGGTAACGTTAGCGACATTTTCACTGTTTTTATTTCAGTTTTTTTCCGCAGAGTCGATGCTGCTGTCTGCGGCTCAGCGTCTGTGTGGAGGAGTCATGACTCAGGCTGAGGCTTTTCTAAACCCCGCCCCCAGGTATTTGCTGCCTTCAGGGGTGTCGGAAATATCAGAGACGCGTTACGGTGGATTACCATTCTCAACTCACTATTTGTATTCATTCTGAGAAAACATGGCCACAAACCAAAACATATGTAATCTCTTTTATTTCCTAGAAAATAATGTGAGTCACTTTAATCCCAGAAGTCAATTTTTTTGTAATTGTTATAACTGATTATTCCCCTTTATTTGTTATTTGTTTGTTCTCCCTATGTATTTTTGACATCCTCTTTGTTTATTATCTCTTACAATGATGCTCAATCTGTCATGTAAAGTTAAACTACAAATACTTACGCACATTTGCATATACTTGCACACATGTTCGCATAATGTAAAAATCATACATAAGCGTATGAGTAACTTAATATACGCATATGATGTATCATTTTTGTTCTTTGAATTTAGTTTTTAACAAGTCATTCTTTGGTGTTTTTATACTGCTTTAACGTGAACATTTCCCCTCTGAGGATTTTTGTAATGTTCTTCTCAATGTTATCTTTTTGTACATCTCTTAGTTCATTTATATAGGTATTTTGTATTATGATAAGGCTGGATAGACAGTTGTATGAAAAAAACTAAAATGTATATCTTTAGCACACACATTTCTAAAAGTAACCTCCATGAATAAAGATCATATGACAGCTAATGGCGTCGACCAGCAACACCGTTTGTCACAAAGCCCTTTTTTCTGTTTATTAACAAGGGCTATACTGTGTGGTTAAATAATCTTTACACCATGTATGGTGTAATATACAGATCTACCAGGTGTCCCTGAAGGCAGCGTTACGTCATGCCTTTGGGAAATGATGGCAGTGTTGTTTCTGCTTTCACTATGGCAGCCGGCTTCTATGGGAAAAGAAAACACTGATGTAGTTCACTGTCCCTGCCTGCTGTCTGCCCACATTACACAGTGACACTCACTTGTATTATTAGATCTTACATTTTTATGGACTAAAATAACATACAAATCATATGATCATTTATATTTATTAATTTAAAAAAGGGAAATTCTACAAATCATTAAGTGGTTAAAGTTAGTTAGACGCCACATTTTTAAATGCTGTAAAATAGAACAATTAAAAAGATGAAATTAAATATATTTATCAATATATTTAACACTTTGAAAGGCTATTTTGATTAATTCTAGCACATGTTTTATCAACAACAATTCTTATCTGTTTTATTATTATTGGTGTTATTTTTATTTAATATAATTCCATTTTATTTGGGATTTTTTTAAATGTCGGATTTTATTCTCCTCATTTTATTCCTTAATGTTTATTATTTGTATTACTATTATTGTATCCTTTATCTGTTTTGTTACAGAATACTGTGACATGGGAACCTTGACTTTAATTAAAGTAAAGGGATTTGAAAAGGGCCTAATAAACTATTGATTATTATCTTGATCATTATTTTATCAGTTAATTATGTTGACCATTTACTGGACTATAACACGTCTGTTTTGATTGACCCACAGTCTGAAATCCAAGCCAAATCCAAAAGAAACAGTGAAGCAGCATAGGCACATGCTTTCATTGCTTGAAAAGACAAACCATCAACAAAAAATCACAACAAATGCAGAAAAACTCTCAACAAACACCATCCAACACACAGATATGCATTTTTCCAGCAGCCTCAATTTTTCTCAGCATTAAAACTCTGAACAAGGTCACTCCAATTTAACATGTAACACTGCCTCCTACTGGGCAATGTCAGGAACAAATGTCTCATTCCACAGTAAGATATCCATCATCGTAATAAGATGTCTGCTGAGCTCTTACAATGATTAGTAACTGCCTGAAAAACAACAAGACGAATGACAACAACAACCTCTATTTTACAGATGATTAATGGCGGAAGTTAGGTTATTTATTTGGCATGTTTTTGGCAAAGAACAAAGTGTAATTTACCTTCTCGACAGGAACAACAGGTGTGAAAGAGATGGAGCCAATTGTAACTGAAACATCTGCTGCGCCAGCTGAGGCTGAACGCAACCGCAAACAAGGACTGACCTCCATGGCTTTTCTCCTCAAGCTGCTGCGCTTCCTAACTCACATACTTCAGCTGCTCTGTGTGTGTGTGTCTTTGTCTTGGTATGTACGTGTGAGAGAAACAGAGCATACAGAATACCCATGCTGCCGTTTGAAGATCAATATTCTGCACTGAAAACTAGCAGCAGCTGATGTTATGTACATATATTAAATTATTTGAACACAGTGTTGGAAGAAGTACTCAGATTTTATACACAAGTAAAAGTAGCAATACTAATTCCAAAAATACTCGAGTAAACGTCCTGCATTCAAAAACGTATACTAGGTAAAAGTACAAAAGTATTAACATAAAAAAAAAGTACTTATTATGCGTAAGGGTCCATTTCAGAATCGTTTCTACATGTAATCACTGGATCATGATCATGTGTTTATCACAGCTGATAAAGGTGGAGCTTATTTTAATAACTTTATATATTGCTTCTGGATATCCTATGATTTTATGTCAATGTTTATTTATTAGATTATTAATGTTTTGTAAGAGATAATAATCAGAAGAATTCAGTTGAGTACAAGTTACAGATACCTCAAAAGTGTACTTAAGTATGACATTTGCATAAATGTACCTTAGTATATTCCATTGCTGAATATTTATTTGTATTATTATTCTGCTACAACTACATATCATTTAAATTGTGTCAGTGTGGAACTAATGTCAGACACTGTTGATTAGTTTTACAGCACTGCATCATATCATAACAGCATATCATTACTTATTTAAATGCAAAAGGTAACTATAAGTGTTACATTAATGTGTTCGAGTAGAAAGTAACATTTTGCCTCTGGGATGTAGTGGGGTAGAAGTATTTGTAGCATAACATGGAAATACCAAAATAAAGTACAATCCGGTAGAAATAGTACAATATTTGAGTAAAAGCTACATTCCGATTAATTAACCATATATGCAATGTTGCTAAACAAAAATAATATATATTTCGGCCAAAAAGACAATCTACTATTGAGTCTTTTATGAGACTCTGAATCAAGAGTAATTTTACCCAATTGAAATGAGTATCTGGGAGCAATAAAATGTGCCGTTTGTTTTGGTATTGTTCTGTATGTTTCTTTTTAATCTCAACAAAAACAAATCGATGTGTTAGTCGTTCCCTGAATACTTTGTGAATCTCCGTTCTGCGCTCTTAGCTTCAATCCAATTGTTTCCTACTGAAGAAATAATGCTTTGTTGGGAACTATTTCTGGCGGCGGATTGATTCAGTTTAGGGCTGTCATGAGTCTTTGAGGCAGAAGGAGGGTGTATGTGGAATGAGGAAAATAATGTCAGCCTTTTTATTTAGTAAGCTGCCCCTAACAGCTTGTCAACATTAAATACAATTCATTGTTAAAGGCCATTTCATTTTCACATGTAAGTATTATCTAGTTGGGGCTGCTTGTCACATTTTAGATGAGTTTTCAGCAGTTACACCAAATACATTTTTCCACATTGTTTCATAAATGTTTTAGGCTATGGAAATTCAAAATATTCACAAAAATCGGAAAATGAACAGAAATGAGTGTAGCAGTTTGAAATCCTCTGAATTATCTTCCACTTTAAGTACATGTATCTGATAAAGATGGTTAAAGAAGAGCAGGTTTAAAACCTCGGACTTGAATGAAGAAAACAAAACAAAACTCTGAATGCTGACTTCTTTTGTCAGTGAATGGCAGAATCTTCAGTATAAAAACATCCCCACTGGTATGCATCTTTTGGAAAAACCCCACATGGGCTGAGACCCAGAAACCTCCAAGAGACCAGAGAGACGGCCAACTTTAAATCTGCTGTGATTTAACTAAAGCTCTGCTTCCATCTGCTGGAAATCAATACCAGAGGATGTTGTTGTGCTGCTTCCCGGGCTCTGGCTGATGCTACAACATGCTTCAGACGTTTACACCCCCCCCCCCCCCCCCCCCTCTTTACTGTCCTACTCTCTCACATGCCTTTTAGTCAGAGGCAAATAGATTAACAGAGGCATATGTAAAAAGGCCTTATTACTTATTATGCTTATTGGTGTTTTCTCTTCACTGTAGTGTGGTATATAGTTTTGTGTGTATGTAAATGGTCTGCAAAGCCTAAGTAATAAACCCAGGAGCCTCCATTATACTCCTTTGTTTACTCGATTTTCTATTGGCTGGCGCTTCAACATATTGTACGAGATAGTCTAAGGGGTGGGAAATCTCTAAACTGTTGACCGATCACAACAGAGCAGGCCAGCTAACCAATCGGAGCAGACCTGGTTCTGGTTTCAGACAGAGGGTGAAAAGAGGTGCTGCAGCACAGGCAGTATGAGAAAAATAAAGAGTTATTTTAACTTTAAAGCATGGAGACATGTCACAGTAAAGCATTAAATACATATATGAACCTGAAAATGAGCATAAAAGGTCCTTTTTAAAGACCACACTCTGCAAAAGTTGGACAAATGTATGTGAGGAGGTGTACCACGACAGCGATGAGGTGAAATCTCAAATCAGAGCAGAACGGTCTTATGAAGTTCTACTAAAACTGCTGTCAGGATGCCTTTTAGCAAGGCAAGCCTTCAGTGGAGGCTCACTGGGCCGAGGTGGAGGCCTCGTCACACTGGGCTGCTGCCAGGTGTTCAATGTTCCCCAGAGCTCCACAAACAATACATCTGTAATCAAATAAAAGCCAAGGAGAGCGCCAGACATTGGACAGACTAGAGAGTTACACAACAGGGGGAAAACAGGCTAATAAATGGAGAATAAACTGATGGTAAAGCATAGATGTACGGAGGGAGGGAGGCTGCTCATAAAGGAGATAGAAAAAGGAACTGCTGGGTTTGTGCTACACATGAATATTGGCATATTATTTATAATGTATTAAATAAAAAACAAATGCTTTGAAAACATCACATTCAGTTCAGTGAATGTGTGATGGAATTGTGTAAGTACTTTTCAGACCAAATTACATTGAAAGAAATGTTCATTTAAACCCTTATTTAGCATTATCAGGTAATATGAAAATATATATTTAATGCTTTATAAGACATGTTGCTGTATAAATAATAGTGATAAATGATGTAGTTGTTAGTTCATTTGACTTATCCATTAAAACATTCATAATTAGATTTTGGTATGTACAGATAATTAGTAGTAATGTATAATGTCTTGGTTGAAAATAGAACCATCCTCAGATCTGCTTATTACTCGCATTAATAACTTGGCCAGAAGTTGGTCACAACATGAAATATGGAAGACACAACATAAAAATGTTCAGACATGGTCCTACACTGTCTGCTGCTTCTACCTGTGAAGGGCGTGCTAATGCTGGTTAGCCAGAAGCTGCTCATCGAGACGATTGACAAGTGTGACTGACTGGAGGACAGCGGGTGAGAGGTGAAAGAAGATTTTTGGCATAGGGTCGCCTCATAAACCCAGGATCCTCCATTGGACTCCTTTGTTTACTTTCGTAACATAGTGATATCACTATCATCACTATGTATTGGCTAGCGCTTCAACATATTATACGTGATAAGCTAAGGGGCGAGACATCTCTGTCAAACTGTTGACCAATCACAACAGAGCTGGCCAGCTAAC